AAGCTTTTTGTTAGCACAAAACATGGCCGCTAGACCCTGCTGGTGTAATGATTTGTCCTCACGCACAAGTGTGGTACTGTGATTATGAGACAGAACATAGTTACTGCAGTTGTCAGGGCTAGGGTTCGCACTATCCACATGCCAGGCTGGGTCTCTTACTGTCACGTGTTATCGGGTTCTGCTCCGAGTGAATGATTATGCTTTCGCAGAACGAAGTGGCTTGTTGGCCAATGGAGATTTAACCAGATCACTGAAATTGCCAGTAAACTTCATCTAAGTACTCTCAATGGAACAGTCACCGGAAAAACTCCCAGACGGCATCTCCCACAAGTTCTGCCAGTAGGCCGTAGTGGATAATTGTTCGAAACAGGTTAGTATATTCTTGTGGAGACCGCCTAACACACGAAATCGTAAATTAAGGTTACGTGGTCGCACCGCCCCACAGGGCTCTCCATCCTTGCATTCGCAAGTATGAGCTCATCGTTTGTGAGCACAAAATCGGGAACAGATGGTTTATTTTCCGCTCTGAATCAGGTGAGGGACTGACATGGCTGCAGAGCGGAATGCTTGCCGACTTTGAACTGCTCGTTGCTGATGCCGGAATTTCCAAATCATGAGTACTGAAGTCCTTAGAGATGAGAACATGGCTGTATCGTCCTCGTAGTACCCTTCCAAGGCTAATATTAGGCGGGAGTCCATCTCTGGGGTGGACCTTGGAGGACGACAAACAACGGCCAAAAGGCAAGTGTCGTTGCGTCTCAGTCAAGGACTGTAGCATAGGGAGTCTATATTCAGCATTTCTGGATTAACCACCGGTTTGCACTGCAGGTCGTTTCGGTAGTATAACAATACACCACCGCCATTGCTAGGGCGATCGCTTCGGAGAAGAGACATAGCATGTACCGCGACCAGGGCGTAGGTAACTTCTGAGTGCAACCAAGTTTCCGTGATGAATATGAAGTCCCAGGCACGTGACGTAGCTGCAGTTCGGCGAGCCTGTTCAGGAGGTCTTGTGCATTGGTGTAAATACAGAAAAGTTTCTATCTTTTTAACAATGAATCGTGGGATGCGTGGTCTGAGTAAAGGTTGTGCCGACCGGTGAATGGTCGGTCACTAATCGCTTTTGGGTGTGCCGATGACGAACTCATCTGTGTCGGGTCCATGGATCCTACTATTACCTCTGCTTCCCTCTTTGTATGTAATGTATGGGTTATGTTTGCCAGTTTCGCTAG